GTGGGGTTTCGATTGCTTTCAGGTTGCCCTGCGCTGATGACTCGCCCATACCGTGCGATGGCATTGATATGGATGCCTCCACTACATCGGAGACACCTCGAATCAAAAAGGAGAAACTGCTTTATGATTTTATATTGGAGCAAAAACATATATAAATCAAAGTAAACAAAGCCCGCAAATTAAGAGTATGCAATTTGTTAATTTCTATCTCACTCTGCAGCATGAAGTGCATGAAACCAAGCCAGACGTCTTGGCCCGATCAGCCGCAAACAATGTCAAGGGTTGTCCTATGCTGTCCTCCTGACTACTTGCGTTTTAAATTTCAAGTGTACATCATGTTCCTTTATTTTCTTGTATCTTCAAGAAACTATTTGTGTCCGTAGCTCATAGCTTGGCAGTAGTGAAGATCAGAATGTAAAAGGATCTGAATGTGGTGTCACAACACTGCGCAGGAATTCTGTGCTGATATGTTTTCGCTGCCACAACATCAGAGGACCCTATGGGTTGTGAGGGCTGCACAAAGCTCTTGCGGGGAACATCCTAGGATATCAAGCTCTTCTCTCAAACTGATATGGAAGTGAAAAACATTCAATGGGAAATCCAGGATTCTGAAATGGAGGTACTGTACCATATAAAGCCATATTTTGTGGGGATATTCCCTTACATAGGCCTTACATAGGCCTTATATATGGTAGGTACCTCCAATTTAGGTTCCTGAAATGACCATTGTAACATATTGCATCATTTTATGCCGCTTGATTCGTCGAATCCCAGAAATCTAAATAAGACACCCGTATACACTAATCATTTTTTGTTGCTTTCCGTGAGAAAGGATAGTGAAGACAGAGCGAGATGATACTTTGGCTTGGCGTATTGTGTGCCTTGGGTCTCCCTTTTTTCATAGTTTTTCGGATCTGGGATGGTTTTCTCCGCCAGAGATGTGAGATTTTGTGTCCAAGGCAAAGCATCCACACACACATCAGATATCATAAGATCACGCAGATTCAATTGCGCAGATTGAAGGGCATGGCCTTTCTACCAAGACCCTTGAGGTGCGTCATGAAAGAGCGAATGGCAGCTCAGGGGCCGGAGGGTATCAGAATGGAAGTCGACCAGAGCTTGCTGGAGCGAAAGGCAGGGCAAAGTGAGCAGACCTGAAACATGATCAAACATGAACATTAGTCCCAGTCTACAGGGACAGTATATAATATGAATATACAATAATATGGATTTAAACATGCTGGGATGGTTGGATGGCATGGTAAGTGAGTAACTGTAGGATACGGTAGGCACGCTCATTCATGTACTCTCATTCATGTTTAGTTTCATTGAGTATAAGCGCGTTCTGACACGGTCACAGCACCTGTTGCAACGGTGCGCTCCGAAGGTGCACCAGACAATTAAGTTTCTTCAGGCTTGCCATTTTTGCTCACACGACATCGTTTGGACCTCGGTTTTCTGACACCAGCATTATTTGAGTTTGGTCAACATGAACCAAAGTCACGCTTCATGGTCCTCATTTTTTTCGATTTCTCGGACGGTTCTTAAAAATAGTTTTATAGAACTTTACTGAACACATCGGACACCAACCCCTTGAGGTGCTGTGCTTCAGCTATGCTTGCTCCTATGCCGGCCGCGTTTTTCCACTCATGGCTGGTGTGCTGGGCGACGCTGAGGCACAAAATGACAGAACTTGACATGGATTCGCTTGGTTTTTGCACAATTTTGCTCTCGTTTTATCTCATTTTGTTGCACTGGTAGCGTGATGGCAATGTCCTGTGGGCTGCTACTCAGCAGGCGGTTCACATCTGCATTTTGCTAGTCTTCTTGGCGCACAGTCCGGGTCTCCAGCTCGAGTCAGCTTTGGAGTCTGCTTTTGGTTGACTGAAATACTTGGCAACTCGCTTCGCTGGATTAGAAAAACACACGAAAAAGTCATGCTCAACAAGAGCCTCTAGGTTTTCTTGGAACATCTCACAGCCCAGAAGATGCCAGAAGTAGAAGTTCCTATGGCCCATGGCGAATTGTGCAAATATGTGTAATGGAATTTTGAAAAATCCAAATCCATGGCTGAGGCTTTATCCTTGATGAGACATGTCCAATGCGTCACCTCACTTGCGTTTAGAGGAAGCAACTCTGGAAGATTGGCAATATGTAAAGTTTCAAGCCTCCTTGATCTGAACATGCATTGATTGCAATTCAAGTCAATCATTAGACCTTGCATCAGCAGCCAACAAAGCGAGTTCACTTTATTTGTGGACCTGGACCGAGGGGAATGGCACAAGCACATCTTTCAGAGATACTGCTCTCTGAAGAAAATGGACACAGCACTCTTCAGTGTTTTTTCGTACCTCGGTCCCGTTAGGATCGGAGACGGACGAGTTGGTCACTGATGCTGGAATTCTTTGCTGAACTATGGAAATATATAGTTGGGTTGAACATGGTTGAACCTATTAATTATTAATTTTGGTGTTTGTAATATGTTTGAGCCATTTCATATCATTTCATCATATTTTATGCGGAGCTTCCTGGGTAAGGATGCTTGAGTTCCACCTGTCCATTCCTGCTGAAGAGGCCACCATTGGGTTTGGTGGACTTGTTGGATCTTGTTGCATGGATGCCATGGATGCTTCAATTTGCTCCCGTGAAGGCAAAGTACTTTCAGCTGATTCTTCGAAGAATCCGTGAACCGGCGAAATGCAACGCTTTAGACACTCGTTGATGGGAAGCAGGCATTCACATAAGCACATTTTAGATCATTATAGCACATTTAGAATCATTCTTGCAGTGCTGTAAGTCTTGCGTGGTTTTCTTGAAACTGACGGGGGATAGCATGGCATAGTATAGCTACAGTATAGCCTCGATGTTTTTGTTGTTAGGAGATGGAGGAAGCAAGCTCTTCAGCTCTTCGTACTAGTTCTTACATGTTCTTACTTAGTCAGTGTACTTCTCTAGCTTGGATCATCGACAAATTTTTGGTGCAATGCGAAGGTAGTTGTGATGTTTGATATGTGGAAGCCTACTATCCTTGCATGTTCGGATCAACTACTGACCTGAACATGTTACGAGGCACAATAAGCATAGAGCCAGTTGAAAGCTGCTATACACTGGCACCCAATTTGGTCATCAATTCTAAATTCTAAAGTTATCAATTCCTGAATGGATTGGCACAAGATTGTTCCCTTTCACTAATCGGTTTCTTGGTGAAGTGCCTTTGGATGGCTTTTGCAATTCTGCTGTTTGTCAACTGGTCGGATCGCATGAGCGCAGGAGTGCTAAATCCATCAAAGCGCCAACATGGTGTATTGCAGAAGAAACTGAGTTGGAATTTCAACACGTCATGGTTTGGTTTTGGCGAAAGTTGTTGCTGTCGGTACTTTGACTTACCAGTTATATTCAGCAGTCCTGTGCCAGACAGGTCCGTCTTAAATTGTCTAGACTCTAGACCTTTTGCACGTTTTTGCATTGACTGCAGACGTTCTGGCGAGTTTTGCCACGAAATGCAGGTCACAATCCGTGACGACACTGTACAGCATTGATACTAATTACCATTGCGCTTCAGTAGATTGGGCGCATCCCCTCTCCGTGCATTGCCACGGTGCTCCATATCTCCATGTCTCCATATGTCAGATGCACCATGTTGCATCCTAAGCCCGGAGCATGAGGTTGGCCAAGAGGCTTGGAGGACCCTTGTGGCCCCACTCGTGTGGCACCTTATTTATGTTGACTGTAATGTTTTTTTGGTGGTTTGTGATTCACATCAAGGTTTTCGGTGGTTTTAGGCATTTTGATGTGTTCTGTTGTGCGAGTTTGTGTGTTTGTCTTGCATCTTTTGATAAGGTATATACTTGTATGATGTGTGCATTGACATTTTGCGGGCCCTGGTCTTTCCTCTCTGCACAGGGGCTTCCTCATATTCCCGGGCCTTGTTGACTGAGCACTTACCACCGCTCAGTTGTGGTCATAAACAGGAGTTGGGAAGCAGCGCGTGCCGCAGCCGCGCATAGTTTCTATCCGTTCAAGGGTGTTGGATAGATGAAGACGTATCCAGATTTATCAGGACTTATCACGTTTCCCAATGCTAAAAACAAAAAGCGCTGGCAAGTTGCAATCCTTGGGGTGCTCTCACACAGTTTTGTGAATGATTTTGATATATATATATATACACACAGCGCGAGCGTTATGTAAAAATGTTGGTTGCCGATGGCCAGGCTCCCTCAATTTCTTATCGGAAAGGCCCCATGTATGTCAGTATATATATGTACAATTATTCGGTCGAGGGTCCCTTAATTTCTTAGCAATTTCTTAATGTAGTATTTCACAAGCAGTCAGATTTGAAGATGTAAGAGCGGGGTTGCCTCTGCGCAGCTCCTTTCGTGAGTTTTACTCCGCCATTGTTGTGCCGCTTCCCAGTGGCTCCTGGGCGCAAAGGAGCACTTACCCAGTCTCCTCTACAGAAAGCTCTTACAAACCCTTACATGATTGAGAAATTGAGGGGCTGGATTTCTTGGTTATGTATTGAGTTGAATCCTTGACCGGTGGCAACAAGGCAGCACAGGCAAGGCAAGCCAAGGCAACACGAGCCAAAGGTGACCTACAGTGAGTCTGGCTGGCGTCTGGCTGAAGCTGTTGCCGGCAAGCTTGGTGATCGTGTAGTGGCTTGATCCTGGGGTGGTCCTGCACCCTTGCTTGTCATTCCCAACCATGTCCTGCTCCAAATAGAATCTTTATAAACCCTTTCACGGTTAAGAAAATTGAACGGGGGCTCAAAGGGGCTCCTTCACATACATCTAAATTTCTTAGCCTTTAAAAAATCCAGGGCCCCTCAATTTCGTAACTTCCATTTGCACATATATTCCACAAAACATATATGCGGCAAAATAATCCAGCCCGTTATTTTCTTATACATGGAATTCTTATACAGTCCTTGGGCTGCACATATATTACTGTATACTTATTGCTTGTTTATAGTTGTTATCTTGTTGTTTGAGCCGCTGGAGGTGCCAAAATCCATGGCGAATGCTTGTGGCACCAATTTGTGCCTTTCTGTTGCTGGTGGCAATCGCGGTTTCAGTCGTGCTTGCAGTAGCACACAATTCAGGAGGCCTGAGGAATGTGCACACTGGAATCATGCTAAATCTTTTTTTGGGGGGATAATATATTGCATTGCGAAACATTTTTTAAGAGCCAAGAATGCTTTAACTCAAAGCGGGATGTTTTTTCCGTGTGGGATACCACAATTGTGGACCTTGAGATGTTGTCTTGCTGCAGGGGCAACTCCAACTCCTTCGCCGCCGCCACCATTGCCGAGTGGCCCTTTGCGGGGACTAGCTTACGCACCGCCCCTTGGTCCTCAGAGGTAGTGGTTTAATCAGCTCCAACAGGCCAGGGCCCTGGGACTTCAGGTTCCTGTGGTCAAAAGAAACAGAGGAATCACAGAAGAAATGTTACGGGAGTTTGTAAAAACCCCGCGCCTATTCGTTTAGTCTTCCATGATCCCCCATGAACCATTTTTGGCTTTCACTGGAAAAAAAGATAAGAGGAAAAAAAACGATAACGTTGAACATTGGTTCTGTTAATGATCTGTGCCCAGACTCTTGAAATCTAATGTTTTTTATTTGTCCGTCGTTCCGCGGCTATTTAATGCTTTTGGTTTCTTCATTTCATTGTTTGTCGTCGTTATGGCGCGCCAACGAATGCGTGTCAGATTCTGCACAAGGAACGATAACAAAACGATAGCGAAAACGATAACTTTTGGCATCAAAAATGGTCCGTGTGAGACACGGCCCTTTTTTCCCTTTCCTCTCCCTTTCCTCTCCGTTTCCTTTCCCTTCCTTTACTTTTCCTTTTCCTTCTCCTTTCCTTTTGCCTTTCCTTTTTCTTTCCTTTTTCCTTTCCTTTTTCTTTCCTTTTTCCTTTTCCTTTTCCTTTCCTTTTCCTTTTCTTTTCCTTTCGTTTTCATTTCCTTGTCCTTTCTCTTTCCTTTTCCTTTCCCTTTCCTTTTCCTCTCCCTTTCCTATTCTTTCCTTTCCCTTCCTTTACTCTTCCTTTTCCTTTTCCCTTTCCTCGCTCATGCGAGTCCTTTGGTCAAGGTGTGAAGCCAGCGCTGAGAAAAACGATGAGAGGAAACAAAACGATAACGTGTGAAAAAACGATTTGAAAGGGCTCGGGGTTTCACAAGACCCCTGTTAAAGGATTCCTAAAGGATACTTTAAAAAAATACAATAAATAAATGTTACAAGGATGTCAAGCACAGACTTGCTAAAGGACCAGCAATTGTTATGTAGGAATACGCGGAAATTATTTTTCATCACTCATCAAGCATCATCGGGATGCCTTTTGCAAGAGTATCATTAGCACAGGCAAGGCTCTGGATGGCAAAGGCATAGTCATTACATGGTGCGGAATCGACGAAGCTTTGGCACAGAACCAATTTCCGTAATTACCAAACAAAAGGCTGGTCCTGAAGCAGGCCCTCTTGAACTGAGGCTTTGGTCAAGGTAACCCTTTAAGAGAACGTGCGATTTGAATTTATTTTTCTCTAATCCAATAATATTGCAACAAGAGAGCTAGAGACAGAGGAAAATCTCGAAATTTGAAGTCACTTCATTGTAGAGCAGATATGTATATTTATAAAATTTTATAAATTAATAAATATAAATATAGATCCCGTCCGATGTAGGGAGTAGTGTGATAGCGGGAGTAGTGTGATAGCAGAAATTCTACCAGAATCAATGGTGGGGTTTGCCAGGGGTTTGTCAGTGTGTACTCTATGGAATTCCACCATTTTTGACCGCAACCTGCAGCCCAAGGCTTCCATGCATCGCCGGCACCTGCAAAGAACAGCTGCCAAACAGCGACGTCATGCAGTGGCTCGACCTGTAGGATATATCAGGATATATCCTTCGGAAGGTTGTGCACCCGCCCTTTGGAATGTACTTTTGTTGCAATATGCATTCAAAATATGCACTTCTTTGGAGATCCTTCCTGCCAGCCACTTGCAGCTTGTGTGTGAAGTGTACGCAGCAATTGCTCTGAATCTGTTTGAATGTGCTGTTGTTTCTTCTGACTTTCCTGTGACGTGACACCTTTAATTTTTTATTAATTGTGTTTCCTATAGCGGCTCTATCTTCATGAGTTTCTAAAATGATATGTCAATGTAGTTTTTCAAATTGTTGGAGTTGCTCTTTACTTTGTGTAAACGTATATTACAAATAATGTAAAAATCATTTGGGCGTTGCACATTGCGATTGACGGAGCGGTTTTCATCCCTTCCCCGTTTGTGTTGTCCACTTGTCATCACTGCCACCATCAGCAACACCCACCTCTTCCTTATCCTCATCCTCATTTTCGTCCCAGTGAGCTCATCATTGAGTTGTTACCACCATATTCAAGCCTGATATCATGCGGCCAAATTCATAAAGCTGGCACTGGCACAAATAGAAGGGTTTTATACAAGCACTCAGCCCACAGTGTGGGTACAGTATCAGTCCCTCAGGATTGGTTATGAAAAGCAGTGGGGTAGTGGCGGTCGAAACGACCTCAACGTCATCAAGAAGCTAGGTCTGACCCTGAGAGCTCAACCATCATTGAATCCTGTTTGGTGCAAAGGCTGTAGGACGTGATCGTTGCTGTTGATAAACTCACGATGGGAGATGTTTAACCTATTTTAATATAAGATGTTAACCTTGTTGAACACAAACTGCTGCAGTCATTCACACTCATAATGACCCGACCTGTCAACTTTCGTTCCTCAATATTGAAGGTGGCAATGCGATTCGTCTCTACCACTCCTTTGGGTTTGGCCCGCGCAGTGATCACGGTCTCTTGGCCGAACAGGTGCCCACGCATTTTTTATCCTGAATCTTGCAGTACGTATGAATGGTTATGACAATTGTGTGCAACTATATACATCTATATACTATATGTATATATAATGCAACTGCTATGAATAGAACGACTATATATATATATGGATGTGTGAGGATATGATCTATATCTATTGGTGTAATCGGCTGCATATAGTGTGGGAAGCTGGAAAGCTTTGAATACGGACTTTTTTCCTTTTGTTCCATACAGGGCGTTCAAGACTCCACAGAGAAGGATGACCAAGAAGAAGGGTGAAACACATATAAGCAACCTACAAAATTTGCGGAAGACTAAAGTAGTGGGGAGTGGACATGTGATGTTCAAATTTGTGCGAAAACATTCACAACCGACAGGGGACCACACTTACCGATACCATATTTTTGCACATAGCATGGAGGCAGTACAAACCTTCACAACCGATAGGGGACCACCCACTTTAGCCACGTCCATTGCGGGTAGTAAGTAACTTTGTCAGCCACTCATATGATAGGGCCTCTCTGTTGATTTTGGCTATCCTGTAGTCACTCAGGTTTGAGCTTTCCAGAGAGGAAAAAGAAACTATGTTCAACCCCGCTTCCTTGACTCATTAAATTCATTAAATCTGCGCGAGGCAGCTTCCTGGATGCAGCGCATGACAATGGCAGCCCGGCAACAAAGATTGTTATTCAAAGGTATGTTGTACTGTGTGTCTCATGAATGGAAGCGTTCCATTGATTGTTCTCGTCTTCAGCACTCTCCTGGTTGGCCAACTGAAGAGAAATCCTTGGGTGGTTACACACCAAGCCGGCTGAGCCAGCAAGGTTTGAGCGTCTTGCCCGGTGTTGATACTGGGCCAGCAAATTCAGGATTTCTCTCCAAATGGAACCTACTTCTCAGATTCTCAAACAAGACCAACCAGCATTTAGCAACAAGAATGTGTACATATATCAATCTATCTATCTAACTATCTATCTATTTATTTATCTATCTACCTGAGTATCTATCTATCGATCTATCTATCTATCTATTTATCTATCTATCTAACTAATCTAACTAACTATCTATCGATCGATCTATCGATCTATCCATCTATCCATCTATCCATCTATCGATCTATCGATCTATGGACCGATCTATCTATCTATCTATCCATCCATCCATCTATCTGTTTGCCTGCCTGTTTGTCTGTCTGTCTGTCTGTCTGTCTGTGTGTGTGTGTGTCTGTGTCTGTTTGCCTGTCTGTTTGTTTGTCTGTCTGCGTCAGCGTGCATGTGCAGTGCATTGTTTTGCTGGCTGTCTGATGGCACTGCGAAACAGTCAGGATTCAGACTTGGCTATTCACAACTGCACAGACTTCGACTGCTACGAAACAGTCAAAGAGGCCCCGGGCAAGAGTTAGTCACAGCTGCCACTCGACTGGAAGATGTTTATATATCCTCCTGCCAATTTCCACTACTAAATGCTATGACCTAGGTCCCGGAAAGTGAACCAAAAATTTAGTGTGAAATTTCTGTCTAGAAACCATTTAGTAGAGAATCATGATTTTTCAAAAAAAATCAAGTAAACATCTCTAGACCCATGATCCACATTTAGTAGAGAGGTAAAAATGATATGCTAATCATATGATGTCAAATGTTGTTTTTTGGGTAAAACCATTTAGTAGAGATGTCAAAAAAATGTTGCAAAATCACAGGAACCATTTTGTAGAGGTTGCGAAGTAGAGTTCATAAAACGGTCACAATGAAATGAGACAAAACTGAAAAACCATTTAGTAGAGATTCCCATTCCGTTGCCCCCGATAACCGTTTGGCCAACCCACCGTGCTGCCTTGCCTTTTTTGGGGGCGATGCCAAATCCCTCGCTTGGGTGTTTCTTGCTCGTCGGGTGCTTACTAAATGGATGGTCATGGGATCAGTCTATCTAGAACTGTTTCACACAAAGCCCTGTTGCATCCTTGTGTGCCCTATTATCCCTTACGTGCTATGGAAGACCATTTTGTAGTCCCAAAATGTCCAAAATCTATCAAGATTTCCCCTGCTTAGCCAAGTGCTGCCTCTACTAATGGATGGTCATGGGATCAGTCATATGTGTTTCATGTTGTTTTATCTACTAAATGGACCCCGTGTATTTCTCTACTAAATGGCTTTGGGGTTTTGGTCGAGTGATGTTGGTCCCGCAACTTGTGCTCAAATGAGTACCTCTACTAAATGGAACAGGGTGTTTGGTCGAGTCATGTTGGTGTCTTAAGACACTCTGAAAATATATCCAAATTTTGCGCTTCAGCTGAACCAGGGGCCCACATTTAGTAGTGAAATTCGATCATGCATGCGCATCCATTTAGTAGAGCTTGAGGCTATGCAAGCCGTTTCTTCACTACAAAATGGTTGCACAGCCCCACCCCTTAATTGACAGGGGGTTGTTTATATATTATATACATGCCTAGTTTATGTTTTATTGTTTCATATTGTTTCATATTGTTTCGGGTTCACCAGGCTGAAAGGCCCAGAGTTTGAGGTTTGGACTCATTGTAACAACATTAATAGATTTAATAGGAGGTAAAGGTAGGTAAAGTAGGTCGAACAAGAATTCATGAAACATACATGAAAAATCATGACACCAGCGACAAAGGACCGCAAGATGCATGTTGCAAGCTCGAGCTGCTGCAGCTGAGTCCTTCTTCATGCCAGGTCATCAAGACCGGCTTCTCCCTGGGCTTCGCGAAAGGCCACAAGTTGTCATCAGTCCACATTTGGCTGTTGAGATATGTCAGATATGTGTATGTGTATGTATATATATATATATTATGTAGATATAGATATAGAATGATATATATATAGATATGTTGAGTATGTTTGTTTATTGCACACTTACTGCCACAATCATTGTCACTTGTCAGAGCTACCGATTTAGCATCCGTTGCAGGGAAAGATTGGCACCCTGCCATTCACACCGTGATCCTGTTCAATGCTCCTCAGCCAAAAATTGCAGTTTCTGACCTTGCACGGCCAGAAGGGGATGATTACGGTTGCTTATATATATATATATCATTGTAGCTATTGGAGAGCTAGTGGAGAGGTATGGAAGAGACGCGCTGGACATCACTGGACCCCGTGCAGTATCCATCAGTATCCTGGATATACCAAGAGTTGACAGGAGCCGGACTTTTTCGCCAACGACCCAAAGTGCCCTCAAAAGGCCTCGTGGTGTTTCTCAGACAGCAAAAATGGGGTTAGCGGTCGATAGTTCTAGGCTCTTGGCAGCTTCTTTGGTACTGAAGTTGAGATGTCATTGATACTGGGTTCGCTGTTTCCTTTCTTCTACAGAATCTATTATATATATATATATATATACACTTATAATATATATATATATGTGTGTGTGTGTAATTATTATATATATATATACATACTGTATACATTTGTGATATTTTGTGATTGCTTGTGTGGTGTGCGCCTGCCATAAAGGTGCAGATTCTCGTGCTCAGGTCGTGTAAAAGCAGCCATCTCCGCACTGGACGGTTTGCTTGCGGCTGAGAGGGAGGCGAATATCTCAGGGCGTGCCTGGGCAGCTTCGTTTATTAAGTGCTTTCGAGCGTCAGAGGTGGCCCAGAGGTAGCTTCTGTTGATCGGCTGTTGACCATTTAATTGCGTCAACTGGATCCACAGTTCTTTACAAAACTAAAGTTTGATACATGTGGCTGGACGCACACCCCCGTCCTCAGTTGACCGTGGAGATAGATGCCTGTTCATCCGGTCTTTGGTCACGTTGCCTAGGGCACCAAGTAGATTTGTTATGAATAGTTCAGGTGATTTTCTGGATATCAAGACAGTCCACTTACATCCATTCAATGCAGTTGAGTTGGCCGTTGCTCAAGAAATCTCAGGCGTGAACTTGACGACCACTTGGTCCTTTGCTGCCCTTGACTCTATTGATGGAGACTCCGCTGGGACTTTGGATCGACAGTTTCCACTCTTTTTGTGCCTGGCTGTTGCGGCTGTTGCCATTTGGTGCCGCACTTACCAAGTTTTCAAACGAATTGACGCACAGCAAGCACCAAGCATCTAAAGTAAATTGCTGGATAACGCGTCAAAGCCTGCAAAGAACATCTGTTTGTGTTTGTGTGATGGAGGAGTGTGGAAGGCCATTTGTTTTTCTACCTTCAACAGTCTCCATTTTGTGCCCCGTATTTGTGCGATTGTTAAAGCTCCAAAGTTGTACAGCAAATTGCGTGATTTTGGTCAGCCCGTTTCTCCCTTCATCATGCTTCCTCGTAGCTGGTGATTGCACTGGAATTGTTCCTTCTTGTGGTGCTGCTTAGCCACCCGAATCCATTCCCTCTCTGGCTAGTGCTTGCCACAAGCCTTCAAGATTTTGACCTCAAGACAGTCAACTGAATCTAGAAATATCATGAAATATCTAGAAGAAGATCTTGGTCAAAAGGATTTCCTCTGAAAAATCTCAGGAAAGTGCAAGAACTGTCCAGGCTACTTCGGCTTCCAGGACGGCCTTGGAATCAACCACACAGCAGTTGGGTACGTTGACGCAGGTTGACACAGGTTGACGCAGGTTGACGCAGGTTGACACTCATGATGACTCATGATTCAATGATCCTTGCGAGGACATGCTTGCAGTGATTGAGAATGTATCGATTGCCCACTACAAACCCCGAACTCCAGCCTGCTGCCTAGAGTCCAAGCATGGTGGCAACCTGCTGGACCCATCCCTGCTTAGACGTGCTTAGTAGGAACAAGCGACAGAGATCGACAGAGCAATTCAGCAGAAGCGTCGGTTTGGAACCTGAATAAGGCGAAGGATTTGGCGGATTCCTTCCACAGAAGGTGCTCCTGGGCACTTGGGGTCATATGTCATATGTCATAATTCGCAGCCAAGAGACCAAGAGTCTGATTTGATGATTGGTTTGATATGGTTTGATTCTATACCAGGAGTGCCACTGACTGGTGGCTGCTTCCAAGTGCACAAGATTGCACAAGATTGAATTTCATGGGAGAAGTTGATGCATTCCAGGTGGGTTAACGCTCTGAATGTGCAAGCTCCATGGGGCTGCTTGTTTGCAACATGTTGCAACCAGATACTACCCGACATTGGCACTTTTTTGTTTTTTTTGCATCCTGTTTCTGCAGCAACAAGATGAGCACGGCAACAACTCGACAGTGAGGCTTTGTGAAGGAGACAATCACAAAGAACTACGGCCCTTTTGGCAACAGGCTTGATGATGCTTCATGATGCCTGATGAGTCCGGGATTATGGGATTATATATGTGCGCATTTTTGCGGACCATGACCACTCCTCACCACTCCATTGCGAAGAAGAACTTGACGTGACCTTGGCCTTGTCTAGTCTCAATCTGAAACATAGCTTGACTATGCTTGACTGATAACAATAATTGTTCCTTAAGCAACTCGGCAACTCAATGCGTCCTACTGTCAGGCCATGGTTTATCGGCCCTTTGGCAGCAAGATGTCCACATTCTCTTGATCCGCTCTCGCTGTATCGTTTTTATGGTGATGTGTGTTTTCTTTTTAATGTGTGTGTGTATGTGTGTGTGTGTGTGGGGAGGTGTTGTATGCGCACACATAATATGATGAATATGCATGAATATGCACAAAATCTGAATTCAGTCTAGCCTATTCTCTGACTCCACAGAGTAGGTATTCCACAAATGCTAGAGGCGGTTTTTGGTTTCACGAGGTTTGTGTTTAGTTGGCATTTTTTGCTGTGTCAAATCGCAGAGGTAAGAACCTGCATAGGATGAAGTTCCAGGTGCATTATCATGATACACATACATACATGCATATAATTATGTGTATATATATAACATAGAATAACTATAGTTAAACTATATTTAACTATATGAGTATATAACCCACAAAATTATTGTACAGAGTACTTTAGTCTTGCTTCGCCTTGGCCTTTCTGCGGTTGCACAAAACCTTTAAACCCGATAGGAGACGACCCTATACCGATACCCCATTTGTGATACCACCCAGAGTACTGAAATCCTCACATCCGATAGGGGACGACCCTAATTTGTGCATGGCATTAAATTTAACAAATAATTTTGCCCGCCGCTGCTCATATAATACTTTATGATTATGTCTAAATTATATAAATTAGTATATATGAATATATAATATAATATACATGCATACTGCAAAGATTTTGTAGAGATTTGGCCTGCATGAGGTGAGTTCGGAGACCTGGGCCAGACCCATGACATCCTCAAGAACGATGTTCAGGCTGTTCCAATGGGTTCCTTTGGCCATGGCTAAAAAAGGCCTGTTTCTTATGCAAGACCTGGAACGCGCAAGTTTTGCGACTCAGCGAACCATTCATGGATACTTGATATATTATGTATATATATAATGGTGTATATGTATATATATATATATGTGTGTGTGTGTATGTATCTATTACAAGATGTTCCAAGCTGTTTCCGGAAGGCGATGCATGAGTTCGCAAGCGCCAACGACAGCCTGTTCATGGGAGCCTCTATTTTCCAGTCCCTTGGACGCGACGGCTGGAGTCTGTGTGTGAATGGAATTTGGCTCGGACTAGACACCACTGAATTTCATAGAGACATCATACCGTACACAGTATATATGCCATGGATATTTAATATTTAATAGTAAGGTTCGCTTTGCTTGTGCAGATCCAGGAAGGTTGATGGTGATCGAGGGTGAGATAGAGATATATATATATATAATTATATATATTATATATATTATATATATACATTATATTATATTATACTATATTTGATTATATTTGAATATATTATATTATATTTGATTATATTATATTAAATATTATATTATATTAATATTATATTATATTATATATTATATTATATATTATATTATATTATATTAATATTATATTATATATATATATGCACATATGCACGAGATGCAGTTGCCAGACTAGGTGTTAGTTTGCTGTACTGTACATACTTTTGTTGCCTTTGGGCATGAGGGATCCAGTCGAGATGTCCATGCCACAAAGCACGCAACTATCTACCCTTGCTTTCTGCACCTTTTGCTTCCACTTGTTTTGGATGAACGTCTTTCTGCAGCCTTGTCGAGCACAATTGTATAATCAGGAGTCATATGGAGTCATAAATTTTCGAGGAAATCGGAAAGTACTGTACGTGGTTCTTCTGAAATTGTTCAGGCTGGGCATGACAGACATGACATGACTGTTTCAAATCGAAAATTGTTCGGATTAAACAAGGGCGGGCTGCAACCTTTGATCCCTGTGCACATGTAAAGCTCCTCATGCTGCATGCGGTTGCACCAACAAAACCACAAGCCCTGAAGCCCCGCCTGACTTGCACGCCTGTCTTGTGGCTTTGCCCAAGAACATGACGAATAATGATGCACATGCCAAGCATGGTAGGAGTGGAGATACCTTCAGTAGAGATACCTTCAGTCATGGGCCGCATCGCGCTGGCATTCGAAACGCTGCTGCCTTTCAGTGGAAAGCCATCGCAAAGCAGCAGCCGCACAGAAGCACATGGATGTTCATTTGTGTATGCGTTTCTATTGTTTGTCACCTCACCTCAATTGATTCACTTGGCAAGAGCAGGTCCGTGAGGGTTGGTATAGTCTTTTTCAGAGGAACATTTGAAAAGAGACTCTCTTTAGGAGATTCATAGGGATCGGTGTTGGCTTTGGTTTGACACACAGATTGCAAGTGTTTGACAATTTTCCTCACGAGTTGTTGTCACTTTTTACGTTCCGACTTGCATTGGCTAGCCAATGGTTCTGTGACATCCTGAATTCATTCAGAAATTCATCCGGAAGTGGATGGAAGTAGAAGGCCGTTCTTGGGCAATCAGACGTGGCGCTCCTTACCCAGGTTTGGTTAGCTTGCCGGATGAAAGGCCCATGTTCACTCTCTGCATTTATTGGTAGTGAGCAATTAATGGCCTGGTGGATCCTAACAATATCATGCATGCTCGTTCATTTTCAACAGAGCAGTGTCAACCCTTATACTCCTCATATTGTTACGCAAACCTGTATCCGGAAGACTGAGGAAGTTTTACATCCTGTCCGTATTCAACGATTTGTTGTCGATGTTCATGTGCAAATTTGTGCATATAATAAACGCGGGCGTCTAGTTTCCTGGCATGTGCCGATGAATCGAATCACTATATAATTATACTTACACTTATAGGCATTGGTTGCCGATAGCAATGGTGAATGTGTTCGCAGTGCCTGCAGTGTGAATTGCAGGCCTGATGCAGGCAGCTACGACTACTGGCAACAGCGAGCTCAAACCTATGATGAGGCTACGTTTGGTCATAGAATTCAGCCCAGTGATTTCTGTTCAAATCATGTGTGGGACAGGTTGGTTCTTACTCTTTCTCGAATAGTCTTGGCATGTTTTCGCCCTCACCGGGCTAAGTAGCAAACGCTCCGGGAATCTGGTAGGACATTTACAAGTCAAGCGAAGAGGACCAGGCTTCGGACAGCACCGATATGTGCCGATCAAAACATTGCCTTGCATATCAGTGCAAGCAATACTTCAAGTTTTGCATAGGTTTTCCTCTGACAACCTATGACAAGATGGCACCAGGGTGATGCCATTGGGAGCTCAGAGTTGTAGGATACTTTCACCTTCAGACTGGTACATGGAATTCACTGGTAGCCAGCCGCAGCCGGGTTTTCGCTCAGGGCCTCATTCGCGGGGAAATCGAAGCAGCTGCGCAGCGGGCCAGTGCGGGTCGCGGCTTGCAGAGCAGCGTTTGTGACGCTCCTGGCCGTGGAGAATGTGCAGCAGCAGGATGGAATTGCAAGAACCACCAAGAATCATCAGGAATCATCCAGAATCCCGTAATCAGTGATGTTGAAGTCATTTGAATTTGCAGGATCCTTGCAGCGGTTGTTCTTCCTTGCCCCTTTGAATGCTTTTTTTTTCAAGTTTGCATGCTGCCTTTTCCCAGGAGGCCATGAAGAAGTGCCAGAAGGCTTCATCCCTGGACAGAACCTGTTAGCAATAGATGCGGGCTGTGGACCAGGTGCGCTCGATCTCGCTTCTTGTGACCTGATACTTGAGATTTTCTTTGTCATTGCTGTTGTTCGAACAGTTTGGTATCATACGTTATCATTATACAACATCACAACACATACAACTAATTGACAATTATATAGTCATATATTGCGATATAATTGACCAAAAACCCCCCATATTGGTGTGTGTACTGCATGACTGTCCCTTTGCTATTAGCCATACGCATCTTGCATTTTGAATCACTTCAGCCATCAAGTGGCAGCGTGGCACTGCTGTCAGCATTCTGAATGTTCATACCAGTTGCGTGATGCTAGGCCTATGGTTGCGAGGGCTCAGCAGCCGCTTTTCCCATGTCATTGGCTTGGACCAGTCGCAAAACTTGTTGGAGAAGGCAGTTGACTACAGAGCACTGGGGCAATTGAACTGAAATACGCAGGAACAGCTGTCATTCTCCAGCGGTCCATGATCCTGCTTTTGATGTTCAAAAGCCAGTTGACAATGCAGACTTAGCTCAAGTCCCTGTAATTCCCTGTGCATTTTACCACTGTCTATTTGACAATGTTTATGGATGCTATTGGAGGGGGCAAAAATGCTATGAGCAGTGCGCCCAACTGATTTTTGAAATTCGGCAGGCGCGGCAGAACCAATCAGAACTGCTGCATGAAAAGGAAAACCAGGCTGGGCGACAGTGTGCAGCAAGCACGAAGTGCTTCTGTTTCTATTCTATTATGTTTCTTCTTTCCTTACAAACCCTTAGGAAGCTCACGTAGATCCGATTATGCCAAGTGGAGTCCATTCAGTCCTTTCTATAACGAATGCTGATTGGCTTAGCTGTGGCTTTTTGTTAAGTCTTATGATTATGTGATCTTATTTAATATTAAGTCAAGTCATGTTATGCACAAGCTTCTGCTTTTGCATCCAAAGCTCGCACTCAGGTGGAGCTGCGTCCCGCTGTGGACCTTGGCAAGTCCTGTGTGAAAGAACATGGACCACATGGTGAGGACCTGCAGCAATGGTTCTTGCTGAATACAGGGCGTTCGGAGTGGCGCATTTGGACATGTCGACCTCACAATCCAAATGTACCCAAATGATCCCAAATGTATTTATTTCTATCCAAGGCTGACACGCTGCCACTCCCATCCTCACATTTGATTGCCTGCAGGAGTTTTGTGGGCCGGAAGTTCTGGGCACAAGACAGAAGGCAGACTTGGTAGCAAGCTTCAACGTCTTGATCTCCCCGCCGCGTGGCAAATGGGGTGCTGTGCCGTTTGGTCGTGATTTGGATTGAGGACGACGGACTATCACTGCACCAGCAGCTGAGGAACAAAGAAGCAAGGGAGATCCTTGGCATGGGTGGCAAGTGGCAAGATATGGCAAGATATGGCAAGATCCAACTTGCTTTTATATCTTTTATAACACTGTGTGAATTGTTGTGTCGTTTTCTTGGGGTCTTTCACTTCACACACATGGTGTCAAGAGAGGAGGACGGCGGCAATATAGATTTGTCCACCCTGAAAAGAGACCTGATCCAGGCAGACACACACCCTGTCTACTTCACTCCTTCATGGTGTGATTGTAATATTTGGCTTGCGAGTCAGTGGAAGGCTTGAACCTAACAGCATCTAACGACCCTTTTGCTCAGAGGGTTGCCACACAAGACTGGATAATGTGGTGGAGAGTCTAGACTGTGACTTGCCACAGATGAACGGAAAAACATTGCCCTGTACTGTAAATGATGCAGGGATGCACCCATGCAATGTACACAGGATATGTTTTCCCAAAGTTCTTCACAGGTCTGCCATACATTTGACTGAGCCATTGGGCCATGGGAAAACCTTCCACATCCTTGCACCTCCACACGTGCCCTTAATATGGACGTGAAAATACCCCAGGGTGCTCCTCCAACTTATCGCTGGTGCATGCTGGTGCCATAACCTGCATCGAGACAGTGACATTATTTGACGCATGTCTAGTCCTCTAGCTAGACTCTAGTCTACTTCCGTGGAAACATGTGGACACAAGCCCAAGACCCCCTGAGACGAAATTATGATGTGCGGATGGCACGAGTGTCAAAAGCATTCGAAACGGGTATGCCATGGTACGCCCATTAAAGATATTGAATGCGGCAAGACTGCCATTCTCAAGTCATACAGTATGTTGCAAAGACTGCCTGAGATTTGCTTTGACAGAGCACGCGAGACCATGCCTGGACAGCCTACACCACGCGTTCTGGTGTTCATCAGGGTCTCTGCATGCTTGGTTTACAGAATTGTAATTTCAGGTTTTTTCTAATGGTAGATGTCACTAGACCAAGGGTCCTTATCCCAGGAATATCTTGCATCGAGAAGCTGACATGCTGCGGCCTGCCCCTTGCCCTGATCGAAAATATTGTGAGAATTAGAGAAAAGCTGGCATGAGATCTTGGATGATCTTAGATTGGATTTTCATGATTTTCCGCGCAAGGGGAAGAGCTTGCGAGTTTATAATCTTGAATCATCTTGAACATGAACACATGATAACACGATAACACATGATAACACATGATAAGACATCACTCTAAATTGACATGTCTTTCTCTCAGGCGCCCAGCTCAACACTGTTGTTGCTGGTGCCAAGTGCCGAGTCCTTTCGTTCAGTGCGCGACCTGTACCAGCAGCAAGGCAGGTTGAAATATATTGACACATGTTCCACATGTTCCAACTCATTTTGCATATGTTTGATTATGTTTGCATCATGTTGCATCATGTTGCATCATGCAGTCTTGATTGTACGTGATTATTCCAAGCCGTGGTGGAACGCTGTTGCGAAAGGTGGGCCAGAAAGTGGCCTAGGCCGCTACGATGACTACACAACAAAGCACACAAGCGAGGAAGCGGACAATGTCTTCCGCGTTTTCGCACGCACGAAGCACTACACCAAAAAGGAGCCATGTCGTGTAGTCATCACCAGTCGGTCCCAGAAGTTGAGGTAATGCCGCGCCACCAGCAGGAGGCATGTGATATGGTGGAGAAAGCTGGCCTCTCCTGCGCCAAAGTGATTAGCATCTGGTCCGAATTGTGAACCCCCAAGGCGTCTCCAGAAAACATAACCCATATAGCGGCGCCACCCCAAGAAATTCATCAAATATTTTTGCAGAGACCTGCTTCCATTCTCTGAAGGTCCTATGTCCAGCGGCATTTGATAGCATTCATAAATACTAATACATACATACACACATATTTACATATGCTTCATGATAGTTTCTGGCTGCATTGCTTTGCCGCATTGCCGTTTGTTTGCCAGGCTACCCATTGCGGTGGAGATACGTTTTTCCTTTTGCATCAGAGCAGGCCAGGTAAACAATTCCCGCTTCATGGCAATCAGCGAGGCAGCATGTGACACAGGAGATCCATGTTGCAAATCGGCAGTTGACGGCAAAATGCAGCCGAATTCCATTTTTGGGCATTTGTGTGATTTGTGTGGGTAGGAGTTTCCAGATGTTTGCAGGAGAGCCCTTATTGCCTGAAATTGTTATCTACCGTTGTTACATGTTGTTACGTTGCACTCGGCGATACATGGTGCTGGCACGTGGCATGTTGCCGAAGGCACTGGATGAGCTGGAGAAAGGCCACCAAGCACAAGCGCACGAGTCAGATGCTCAGACTGCTAAGATGTCGGAAAAAAGTGGGGGAATGTCAACGTCAGCCTCAGCCCCCAACTATTACTATTACAAAAAAAAACTGAAGAGGGTACATTTGTAGGTCGCATGATGTCGCATGTCATCGGTTAAGGCACTGGTTGCTCAGGTGGATCGTAGTTGCACATCCCAAAGCTGAGCCTTTGCTCTCTCGCGCGCATGCTGACTTCCTTTGAGGTGTAGCTGTCCTGTTGAGTTTCAAATTTGTTCAAGGAGACTCATGGGCTATGTCATTTGGCGTTGATGCGGCAAAACCATCGAGTGTGTCCAGATCTCTTTTGGCAGGATCATTTCAGACTCCCTTGGCAAGCGCGTTGAGTGCGGAGTTGAAAAGGGACGGCCTTTCATGGTGATGGGACATTGTCATCCTGTTCAGAACCATTCAGAACCTCTATGATCCTGTAAGTGTGTGCAAATGTGTGCAAGATGGTCATATTGGCACATCCAGATTGCTGGGTAGGCCACTGCAAACAGAAAACTGCAAGCAAATAATTAGCAGCCACATAGAGATTAATTAACTCCGCAGCATGCCGAGACTCTTCCTTTCTCTCCTGTGTCTTATGAATGTATGATAGCTCCTGATAGCTGCACTTCGGGCCAAACTTAGGTTTCAGACGGCGTTACTTGGCTCGTGTTTGGAGAAAGAATGCAGTCGCAATTGCCAGATAAAAGTGCCAAGACGAATAAAACCAAAAAGAGACCTACGGATGAGGATTGATGTTTGTCAAGCAAGGTGTGAATTGAATCCAATGCAACAGGTAGATTTGCTGAAGCTTGAGCAATCATTCCTTTCAAAGCTTCGCGAGAGCATGTTTCTTGCATCATCCTGACTGAAGGTACTGGAAGGGAGGCTCAGAGATGTCTTTTGGTTTGTGGCTGGCCTCAACTTCGATTATCCAGCCATCGTTTTCACCTTTGTTGTACCTTTGTTGTGCTAGCGTTCTCCTGTATTTGACAAGCTGCTTGGTCAACCCAGCACCGGAACACCTTCAGGTTTGGCTTGGGCAAGGAGAAGATGCTCGGCTAAGTATAGGAAAGTAAAAGATGCAAAAGCTGAGCCCATTCAACACATTTCAACACATTCAAACCCCAACACTACAAGATCTACAAACCATGCGTCACTATGCCACTGTGATTTCACTTGCGCATACATGCTACATCATGCTACTGTACGTCTTGAAACCTTAATTAATGGTATTGCTTGATACAATTACTATCAATTGCTTACTCATGACCGTATGCCCTGGCAATCCGAACATGTATCAGTTCTGATATGTTGTGAGTCGACGCTAAGGATTGCGGACACAGAGGACGTATGCGACAACAAAGGCGACTGCTGCAAATGGCCTGTTTTTGGGCTGCAAGGAAGAGAGTGGTTTAATTCGGGGTCACTTTCTCTATACTGTACTTAGAAACAATGGGAGAGATTATGTTCAAACGGAGTGGCATGAGTATGAATATGGTACAGAAACAGGAACATCATGAAAAAATCTGGAGCCAGACCGCCAACCTCCATCAGAGATAAGTTAGTCATCACTTCCAATTACCTTCCTTTCTCACTGAGGTCTATTGCTTGAGCACCGATTTGCACTGGCTTCCTGCAGATCAGGTCAGTGGCATATGCTGGCATACAGTACAATACAGTACATAATCACATCACGCTGAGCATCTAGCATTATAATATTACATACAATTATGCAACATTATATAACATATAGACATATATAGACGATCTGACACTCAAACTCTCAGCAGCATTATGTAAACGTTTATGCTGTATCCAGCGAGCACCGGCATGTCATGTCAGGTGCTTTTTTGTGCAAGTTTGGGATGAGTGCCCATAATTCCAGAATGCGTGGATTTCAGCGTTCTTCACCGATTGGCCATATTCGCTGCCTCTTTTTGGGCCGTTGTGTCAGAAAACATCATGCAGAGGCACAGCGTGCAGCCGCCGTTGCCGCGGCGTGGAATGGCACTGTGACAGGCCTTTGCAGCCACGTGGCAAGAATGCATGCTGTTTAGCAATGGGTGGTGAGATTAATTATATAATATTTGTTGAAGATTTTCTTCGATCTTATTTATGCCCTTTTGGATCCTTTTGGACTTTCGGAATCTTTGGTATATTCCCAGCCCCAGCAGTCCTCTGAACATGAAGTCACCTGTCCACCTGTCACATCTAAGGAAATGCAACTCAAATCATCGTGTGATTTGGCGATCTGATCCCGGCCTTTGCTGTTCTTCTAGGATTTTAGGAGAAGCTGCGCTAGACTCGCTAGACGTTGCAAGAGTAATGATGAACTCATGAATAAACCAGCCACCCTTGCTATTTGTGCGGAAACTGCGAAAATTGTTGAAGTGTTGAAGGATGGTGCACAATTTTGAACAATGCTTGTTTCTAGCGGCAGCTGGTGGACTTGCTCTCTGCTTTGCTGTCCGATGTTATTCATTCGTGAAACAGTTGCAGTTCCGAGGAAAATCAAACTATATAGACGAGGCAAGTAAAATGAAATAGTGTAAGCTTTGCTGTGAGAGCTACATGGAATTGCACCATGTAGCATCATGTAGCCATGTACTTTGTTTGAGAGTTTGCTAGGGACTTCGGCCCTTCGATTTAGTGTCATATTATCCAATCGAGCATGTCTTTCAATATGGTGGAAGCTCACTGAAGGATCGCTAAGGTGGTCAATGTTTCTTTCCAACCACGATGATCAAGTTTTAAGGGGCCAAAGATATTGTTGGGCAGCTCATGTGGGCTTGCTACATGAGCTACCCTGAGTTCTCGAACCGGAGCCTGTGCTTTGTGTGTGTGCGCCAGGTTTTGGCATGTGCGAACCGGATTTAAATAGAATGAGCGGATGAAAAAGATCGGCAAAGTGTTCCAAAAGGGGGATCTTTGGGGTAAAATCTCGTTCTGGATGCTATTTTTTCCAGGCCTGACAGCCCTTGCCACCGTTGTCTTGCATTCATATCCCGAGGGCCCGTTTGAGTACCCTTTTTCTCTCAAAAGATATCACAAATCACAAAGTGTCAAAAGGATTCAAAAGGCATGTCCCCAAGATTCCTCAACGCATTGCACTTACTGGCAAATGCTGCCAATGGACCCGGATTTGCCACTGCTTTGCATTGAGGACCTGGAACTCCGCCGTTGCAAAGCGGACGAAAATGTTCGCTTACGTAAAGAGTGCCCCTTGAGTTTCGCAGTTTCGCATGTGTTTATTCAAGACGCAGGAAGTAAGCTGGGTGCTCCATGGTGGTAGAAGATGGTAGAAGGTGATTCTGGGGCAGAGACAGAGAAGTAAGATCCAGAAGGTTGAACACGTCATACCACCTCCCTTTCCAACTGCACAGTGCCCAGCTGCAGCTTTTAGAGAAAGAATGAGAAAGATAAGGACATAGTGAGCAGAAAATCTTGCCTTCAAGTTTCAAGATCTGTCAAGATTTTTAGATATTTCAGGTACGAAGAGCGGAAGGGGAAATATTCGAAGAAGCTGCTGAAAGAGCCACAGGTTAGGAGCTAAGAGTGATCCTGGATGATCCTGGGACGTTTGTGAAGAATGAGATTGAGCCGATTGAGCCGATTGAGCCGATTGTTCGGATGTCTTGTCAGGTGCCTCAGTCTGGAGACGACCAGACTGCAGAGAGCTCTGCAGACTTTGCTCATGGTTTCGATTTTGAAGCTTTGGAGCAAGGGGCCTAGCGGCCTAGCGCCAAAGTGCCCAGCAGTATGCACGTGCACCAGATTGGACCAGCCTTCGTATCTTGCACCTAACTTTCGGCTGTTTGACTGAGAAAAATTGAAGAGAGAGAGAGAGAGAGATGATGATGAAATATGATGAAGTGCTATCTGACTATAGGAACACATTTCGATTTGGTGTCCATCTGGTGCCTGCTCTTGCAGATGTTTGAGGCCCATTGATTACATACACATTAAAAACACGGACCATGTGTAATCGTGTTGCCGTTTTGGCGATGCTTAGGCGAGAAGAAGCGTGGCACACATCTTCGGTTGTGCAAGACAAAAGAATGCGATTGCAGGGTTGTTCCAACCGTTCAAGGATTCAACATCACTCAAGCCAGAAATGAAGACAGTTCCATTTATTTGCCGAGGGTTCAGTTCTGCTGGAAAGTTTGGAAGCGAGTGGAGTACAGAAACAGCGTCGACACGGAAGCAAGCCCATACATCTGGGTAAATTACTGTATAACGACCTCACTGCGACCTCACTGTAATCATAGTTAGTAAGGGAAATGATACCCAAATGGCCTTAATTCAGGTTAGTGACATATTATAATTTACCCAGATACATGTTTTGACAGCATGTGCTAAGTTACTATGCAGTTCAAGCATGTGCAAGCATGTTGTGTGCAACCCGGGGGTGCTTTCTATGGATCATCTCTTCATTTTCTTGTATCCAGCAGTTTCAGACCTCCAAGCTTCGCCATCGAGCGCCTTGCCGCACAGTAACAGTATCGTATTTCAGATCAGGGCCACAGGATGACATTGGACCAATACTTTCCAGTGAAGATACTGAAGGAAGTGAAGATATGTCAAGAGTCAAGACTGCCGTTACATTACATGCCCTTAACAAAAATCCCTCGCTACTCGGAGTAAAGGCATCAATCACAGCGCCTGCGAACTATCATCAAAGTCACCCAGCCATGGAGGCAAAGCGTAGGAAGGTTGGAGATGTCTATCCGCCACGTGGAAATCGGTTTCAGGATAAGGTGGATCCTGGGCAGCAAAGTGCCGCAGAGCATCAACTTTCAAAAATCCTTTGGAAGTCGAAAGCTCGTTGGTACATTTTTGCCGTTCTCCCTGACAAATGCTTGTGAGCTGACATCTGATGACTAAATGCAACATGCAATCCAAAGCAATTGGATCAAGAAATGCTCGAAGAGAAATCTCACAGCTGTGAAGAGCTTTGGAGTTCCTTGCCTTCTTATCATCATTCGTGTCTGAGGCCGTGATCACCGGTGCTGCCGGGAACTTTGGTGCTGTTTGTGCCAGGATGATGGCAGCAGAGGGGGCCAAGCTGGCTTTGGTTGACCTGGTAGAGGACAGCTCGTAGAGAAACTGCCAATCTCAAAGGTCTTCAAAGCCTTCGAAGTGCTCTTAAAGCATCTTAAAGCTAGTTGTACAACATAGTTAATCTATGTTAATCTATGTTAATCTATGTTAATTTGGCTATGAGCGTCTAGACAGTCTATCGATGATATATGATTAAAGTAGACAGGCAAGTTCTTCAAGAATTTAAATAAAGATAAACAGCATTAAACAGCTGTCTAAACTCTAAACCAACTTTGCACGTAGGGGTGCAATAAAGCATGGGGCTTTCTGGAAATGATGCACCCTTCTCACCGGTGCCACAACCAATACGTAGTTAGTGAGATGTGTCACCTCATTATGACCAAGTTTTGCGCACTTAGTTCTTTATATATACTAGTATATGATAGTATATGTATGTATTTATATGACAATTTATGTGTATTATACTTATCATATAATGACAGAATATAATTTCACGTATGTAATATATATGTATACATTATATTATATTGTATTATATGTAACCCCCCGAAAGAGCCAAAATCTCTACGACCGATAGCGAACAACCGAATTTGACATGTGGCAGATCTGGGTAGACGATATGTTTGATTATGTTTGTATATGTTGGTCCTCTACTCGTTCTGCTTCAAATGCTGCATATGTTCATTCAAAGCGATTTGTATCCACTTGCCTTCATTTGATCTGCATTTGCTTGTTTCCGGACTTGACAGTTGGGGTTTCTCATGTTTGGTTCCGGAGCAGGACAAGCTGCAAGCAGTCGCGTCAGAGATCCAGGACCAATACAAGGTGCCTGTCAAGGCCTTCGCGCTGGATGTGCCATGGCTACAGTTTTGTCGACTGATCCCAACCTTCGGCTTTGATATGCTTTGGTCATGGTTTGATCCGTTGCTTTTCTTAGATGTAGCTTATGTCTGCAAGGGCAGGCTTGTACTCGTGCATGGTGCAGTGGTGCATGCTCACCCTTTAGGTCATGACTGGTCATGATGTGTCCACTTCAGCAGACTTACCGCTTTGGAGTGATGCACAATTGGACCAGCCAAAGATGTGGCAGAGGGTTAAGATGGGTTAAGTGGACCTTGAGGTGACAAAAGATACTGATGTAGAGAAGACAGTGGCCAAGATCAAGGCAGAGTTTGGCCACGTAGCAGCACGTTTGAAGTTCGGTCGCGCGTAATTCAATAAGAATGACTAGTGTGACTAGTGACTATAATGACAACTGAATTAACTGAATGATACTGAATGTATGTCTCTCACACAACCCACGGGTAAGAGGGAGTCAGAAAGAGGGCGGACAAAATCACTTCAAGAGAGCTTGGAGAAACATACCACAATTCAGGTTGCATCGACTGCCTCTTCAACAATGCTGGATATCAAGGACTATTCGCCCCCGTTGATGACTATAGCACAGAGGATTTCGAGAAGGCTTTGGAATTTTGGGAACGGAGCTAGTCAGGCTATCCTCATGAATGCTTGTCATTGCTGTCTTGAAGTTACCACACTTCGCAAGGAAAGCCAACCAAAACCAGCCCACACCGGGCCCACACCTTCCGGCGAAGGTCATGAAGATCAATGTCACTGGAGTTTTCTCAATGCTGAAGTATGTGTCCAAGGTGATGATAGACCAGCAGCTTGGGGCATTGGCCAAGAAGAATTGAAATAAATTTATATACATATGTTATATGTTTGATATGTTATAATGTGCTGTCCTTGGAAGTTGGTTTGGCTCGAAATGCCTAATATCAATCCAAATTCCAGGATCCTAAAATGGAGGTATCGTACCATGTAAAGCCATATTTTGGGCGGTATATCCCCTTACATAGCCCTTAGATGGCCCTTATAGATATACGGTAGGTACCTCCAATTTAGGTTCCTGAAATGGCCATTGATACTATATATACGTATATATATTATACATAGTTACACCTTCATGATTCATGGTTCATGTATGTTTATGTATAGTTATACTATATATATATATGTAATTATATCTATATATATATATCCTTCAGTTCAGTCTGCCTCACTGGTGGCCTTGCCGCCAATCCAGGAATATACTGTTGCGACAAATGGTACATGTCCCGTGAATATTGTTGTTCATGCACATCCCTATGGAGTTTGGAATCTTTGTGTGGTGTTTGCTTGCTTGTGGGGCTGTGGTTTTGCTTTTGGCAACATTGAAAAGGCATGTGCCCTTTCTTTAGTTTGACTGTCACTATTTTCAGCTTGCTTTGACCCTTTTTGCACTTGGGGCTGTCTTTTTTTTGGATGACATGTTTTCAATTGGCAGTTGAATGTGCTTTGGATGAACGGTTTTCTTTTGCATCCTGTTGTATCACTGGATGAGGAAAGCAGGCTCCATCGTGAACACTGCATCCTGTGCGGGGCTGGGCTGTCCTACATCGATGCCAGCCTATGGAACTAGCACCGGCCTCAGATCAAATAATTAAAGGGCTACGCCCTCTGCCGCCGACCCCTGGACACTGGAGGGTCATGCCTGCCTCTGTGTCGTAAGCATGAAATGAACCCTAAAGAAACCAGAAACTGACCTAAACAAACCATTTGTATGTGCGTTTGGCACTGTGCACATGCAAGCAGCATGGACCCCTGCAGGATGACACGCACAACTATGTGCTCTGACACTTTTTCATGGCTCAAGAAATAGGAGCTTTCGTCATTGGGCAGGTGTCTTGGGGACCTAAAGGGTTGCTCTAGCACTTAAGACCCATACCCGAAGCCCCCGTTCGTAACCGCAGTATGAAACTTGAAATGGCATCCTAAAGAGACCCGAGACGACACTGCATTGCCAACTGCCACCCTGCTCGTGTCCTCCTGGAGCCGGCTTTCGTTCTGCACCGCTTCGGTCCAAGCTGGAATCCAAGGACCGTGTCGCAGGGCTAAAACACTATGGCAGTGAAGGACGGATTGAGCCCGCGGCCCGTATCCTAGACTGCCAAACGTCACTTTCTGAACCGACTAGAAACTAGCTCCAAACCATTCCAAACCTTGACTTTTCCTGCGTTTCTGCACTGCCAACTGCCACCCTGCTCGTGTCCTCCTGGAGCCGCCTTTCGTTCTGCACCACTTCGGTCCAAGCTGGAGTCCAAGGACCGTGTCGCAGGGCTGAAACACCATGGCAGTGAAGGACGGATTGGGCCCGCGGCCCGTATCCCAGACCAAACCTTGACTTTTCCTGCGTTTCTGCACTGCCAACTGCCACCCTGCTCGTGTCCTCCTGGAGCCGGCTTTCGTTCTGCACCGCTTCGGTCCAAGCTGGAGTCCAAGGACCGTGGCAGTGAAGGACGGATCTGAACCGACTAGGAACTAGCTCCAAACCTTGACTTTTCCTGCGTTTCTGCACTGCCAACTGCCACCCTGCTCGTGTCCTCCTGGGGCCGGCTTTCGTTCTGCACCGCTTCGGTCCAAGCTGGAGTCCAAGGACCGTGTCGCAGGGCTAAAACACCATGGCAGGGAAGGACGGATTGGGCCCGCGGCCCGTATCCCAGACTGCCAAACGTCACTTTCTGAACCGACTAGAAACTAGCTCCAAACCTTGACTTTTCCTGCGTTTCTGCACTGCCAACTGCCACCCTGCGCGTGTCCTCCTGGAGCCGGCTTTCGTTCTGCACCGCTTCGGTCCAAGCTGGAGTCCAAGGACCGTGTCGCAGGGCTAAAACACCATGGCAGTGAAGGACGGATTGGGGCCGCGGCCCGTATCCCAGACTGCCAAACGTCACTTTCTGAACCGACTAGAAACTAGCTCCAAACCTTGACTTTTCCTGCGTTTCTGCACTGCCAACTGCCACCCTGCTCGTGTCCTCCTGGAGCCGGCTTTCGTTCTGCACCGCTTCGGTCCAAGCTGGAGTCCAAGGACCGCGTCGCAGGGCTAAAACACCATGGCAGTGAAGGACGGATTGGGCCCGCGGCCCGTATCCTAGACTGCCAAACGTCACTTTCCGAACCGACTAGAAACTAGCTCCAAACCTTGACTTTTCCTGCGTTTCTGCACTGCCAACTGCCACCCTGCTCGTGTCCTCCTGGAGCCGGCTTTTGTTCTGCGGCTCCAAACCTTGACTTTACCTGCGTTTCTGCACTGCCAACTGCCACCCTGCTCGTGTCCTCCTGGAGCCGGCTTTCGTTCTGCACCGCTTCGGTCTAAGCTGGAGTCCAAGGACCGTGTCGCAGGGCTAAAACACAATGGCAGTGAAGGACGGATTAGGCCCGCGGCCCGTATCCCAGACTGCCAAACGTCACTTTCTGAACCGACTAGAAACTAGCTCCAAACCTTGACTTTTCCTGCGTTTCTGCACTGCCAACTGCCACCCTGCTCGTGTCCTCCTGGAGCCGGCTTTCGTTCTGCACCGCTTCGGTCCAAGCTGGAGTCCAAGGACGTGTCGCAGGGCTAAAACACCATGGCAGTGAAGGACGGATTGGGCCTGCGGCCCGTATCCCAGACTGCCAAACGTCACTTTCTGAACCAACTAGAAATAAGCTCTAAACCTTGACTTTTCCTGCGTTTCTGCACTGCCAACTGCCACCCTGCTCGTATCCTCCTGGAGCCGGCTTTCGTTCTGCACCGCTTCGGTCCAAGCTGGAGTCCAAGGACCGTGTCGCAGGGCTAAAACACCACGGCAGTGAAGGACGGATTGGGCCCGCGGCTCGTATCCCAGACTGCCAAACGTCACTTTCTGAACCGACTAGAAACCAGCTCCAAACCTTGACTTTTCCTGCGTTTCTGCGCTGCCAACTGCCACCCTGCTCGTGTCCTCCTGGAGCCGGCTTTCGTTCTGCGGCCCGTAGCCCAGAGTGCCAAACGTTACTTTCTGAACCGATTAGAAACTAGCTCCAAACCTTGACTTTGCCTGCATTTCTGCACTGCCAACTGCCACCCTGCTCGTGTCCTCCTGGCGCCGGCTTTCGTTCTGCACCGCTTCGGTCCAAGCTGGAGTCCAAGGACCGTGTCGCAGGGCTAAAACACCATGGCAGTGAAGGACGGATTGGGCCCGCGGCCCGTATCCCAGACTGCCAAACGTCACTTTCTGAACCGACTAGAAACTAGCTCCAAACCTTGACTTTTCCTGCGTTTCTGCACTGCCAACTGCCACCCTGCTCGTGTCCTCCTGGAGCCGGCTTTCGTTCTGCACCGCTTCGACTCAAGCTGGAGTCCAAGGACCGTGTCGCAGGGCTAAAACACCATGGCAGTGAAGGACGGATTGGGCCCGCGGCCCGTATCCCAGACTGCCAAACGTCACTTTCTGAACCGACTAGAAACTAGCTCCAAACCTTGACTTTTCCTGCGTTTCTGCACTGCCAACTGCCACCCTGCTCGTGTCCTCCTGGAGCCGGCTTTCGTTCTGCACCGCTTCGGTCCAAGCTGGAGTCCAAGGACCGTGTCGCAGGGCTAAAACACCATGGCAGTGAAGGACGGATTGGGCCCGCGGCCCGTATCCCAGACTGCCAAACGTCACTTTCTGAACCGACTAGAAACTAGCTCCAAACCTTGACTTTTCCTGCGTTTCTACACTGCCAACTGCCACCCTGCTCGTGTCCTTCTGGAGCCGGCTTTCGTTCTGCGCAAACTCTTCGCCCCTTCTGGCATCTTGTTGCTAGTAAGGCCTCCTCTGACGCGCTCCCCCTGCTGACGGCAGGGGTCGGCGGATATATGCTGCAAGATGACGAAAGATTTTTTTTGACATTTATATAATTAAATAAACACAGCTTGATCTCTGTTATCTAGACCTGTTCCCCCTGGAGTCTCACAGCATTAAATAACACGTCATAATATGTTCCTCATGATTGCTGCGCATTGCGGCTGCTTCCAGAGACATCCAAAAGGCTTGAGCAGCTTTTGGTTCAAGAGCCATATGCTTCTGTGACATTCTGTGACAACCTCTTCACTTCGGGAGCATGGCTGTTTTGCGTCTTTGGCTTCTCGCTTTGCTTTCTGCCTTGGGCGGAGCAGGGGCGACATGCGACGCTGGCTGCAGCGAGGAAGATGTGGAAGCAATCGAGCAGCAACTCAGCAAAACCCGCAGGGTTGTAACAGTTGTAGCTTTCAAGCATCGCAGATTGACGTGCTGTCCTGGATTTGTCTACACTTCAGGACACGGAAAACACTCGTTTCAGGACGCAGCACAACCCAACTTCAGATAGTTTGAATTTCTTTGAAGTTGCTGAGACGCAGTAGGGGGCCGATGAGCCAAGCAGACTGAGATTTGTCGCATTAACGTTCAATTGCTCACCCTCTCAGGTCAGATCTCGCCTCCGTTGAGCTTGTGCAACTTTCCCTGGATACGAAGAAAACAAAGACATATCCTGAAATTATTGGTTGCTTTGGCGGGGACAAGCCAGTCTCTGCCCATTGCGAGAATGGATCCTGTACGTACAGGCACCGCTTTGAATACTGTGCTTCATCATACTTTATTTCCATTTATTTCCTGCATAGTAAAGTGCGGCCGAGCATTTACGGACTGAATTCTACGCATGCATTGCTGTTACATTGACCACCGTCAGCTTAAAGTGATATTGGTTATCAAGATCTCCATCACTGTCAAAAGCACGGGCAGCGGAAAGCAGGAAGCACAAGCACACCGATTCCTCCTTCCATTTGATCCTGTTGCTTGCAAGTATTCAATCCCCAGTGAGTCTACGCTTTGGTTTCCTGAAACGTGCAGGTGCAAGCCAGAGGAAACCTACCAGGAGCTCACTTGTGGTGAGAACAAGGCCGCTTGCAGCATACGCACAACAAGCACGGTCTTCAAAAGGATTCGAAAGTTGCAGATACATATTTTATCATTCCATAAGCGGATTGTTCAGATAGTTTGGTTGGCCCTGGAGAAGTGGAATATGTGGAATACTAATTCCACCTGTGGAGAATATGAAGCTTTTGAGGTCGGAAAATCATGAAAATCCAGATGCATTCATTTTTGTTCAGCAAATAGAGGAGCCGAACCCATGACTGGCTGCAAGTGTTTGCATTGACTCTGGTGTGAAGATGTGTGAAGTGTAAGACCTCAGACGCTTAGCGCCACCATGCGCCACCATGAAGATGTGCAATTGAAATTTGATGAATGCCCTTTGATGCCCTCAACCTCAGATCTTGACTGGTCTAGGTCTCCCTTGTCTTTGAGGTCATCGGAATGGATTCTTGCAGCGGCGGCGGCTGCAGTTGGAGCTGCAAAAGCATTCTGGGGTGCCCCCAGAAGCCGCAGATGGTGGGATGCGACCGCATGGCCCCGCCTCTCAACTCCTGCCACTCATGCGGCAGAGATTAGACTTAGAGGGTGAGGCTGTTATGACCACGGTACTGACTATAGTTACGACCAGTGCACATAGTTTGGCGCACTTGCGGCTTGGCCGGCTTGGCGCCCTCTCGGCCAAAAACTTGCAAGTCTAGACTCAAAATCCGTCGTTGATTTCCTGGTTGTGCAAGCTCCATTTGAGATGAGTTGAGGCATTTGGATGTGTCCTTCGACCAATTCTCGGATTCGATGTCCTGGAAGCGCTGCGCCAGAACAGGATGCTTGCAGTGGCGGCGGTTGCAGCTTTCTGTGCTGATGCCGGAGATTGCCATCGGCTTCAGGCAACGTTGATTGACAATGAAGCCACGGCAACGAAATGTTTGTTGCTGCTGTTTTTGTTGGTTCCTTCTGATTGATCCTTTCCGTCCTTTTGCGCGCTTCTGTCCTTGGATGCCCATAGATGCCCACCTTCCGTCGTGATTGCAGGACATTGCTCCTCTTGCGGCATCCTTAACCATCGGAAAAGCGGCAGCTTTGGGTATACAGTGCGCGCTGCCGATGGATGTACATATTATATAGATTTATATAGCTGGTAGTTTATCAATGTTGTTTGGACCATGGGAGCTGAAGATCAAAGAATCAAGCCGCGTGACTTGGACCTGTCTCTTGGACCAAGGGACGCGCTCAGCCGCAAACAAGGTCTGGCGTGTGTGCAGCTGTAGCTAGGGCACTGTGCTGATTAGCTTGCTGTGAGTTGCTGCAAGCGAAGGGTGTGTACAATGGTCCGTCCTGATTTGTGTGTGTACCCCCCCTCAAACGAATATGCCGCTATACCCTCTTTCAAGTTGAGTTCTTAGAAACTGTTCCCAGAAAAAATACGATGAGAGACATAAGTAAGGATTTTAATTGGCTAATTGAGACCTTTTTTTCCGGTGAACTTGTAGTACTGGTAGTACTTGTAGTACTTGTAGTGAGTGGGGTGCAGCATGTTGATTGCGTTACCTTTTGCACCTCAAGTTTTTCAATGAAAGGTGTAACAAGAGAAAGAGGAAGAGAAAGATAAAGAGAAAGAGGAAGAAAAATAGAATCTTAGAAAGAAGAACAGAAAGGGAAAGAGGAAGAGGAATAGACACATAATAACATATATATATATAGTATATTATATATATATTTATACGAATAGAAAGAGGAGAAAAAAAGACATAGAGAGAGAGAGAAAAAAAAATAGGAAGAGGCAGAGGAAGAGAAAGAGAAAGAGACAGAGAAAAAAAAGAAAGAGAAAGAGAAGGTTGCTTTGGTACAAGGTTTTTCTTTCTTCTCTTGGCTCCAGGATCACCTCAGAAAAAGTGTGCTGCAATTGTGAACCGTGGGAACAAACCTACCAAAGTGATTTGGACCCTCTCATGGTCCAGCGCCTTGGAATTTGTAGAAAAGCTGTTCTTTAATGAGGGTTTAATAAGAGATTGGATCTTTTAGGAAAGGGATGCAAGAAAGATTTTTTCCAGCAAAAATGCTAAGATGTTTTCTTTCACACAAACATTCTTTTTTGAGAAAAAACATGGTCTGCCATTTTTTGGGCCATAGTAGCGAAGCGGAAGATCAAATCAGAGGTGCTGAATAATTTGCAGACTGTTAGCCACAATAGCGAACCTAGCTACTAAGCTACTAATCAGGATCCAACATTTGTTTTGAATTTTCAAGGCAAAGCTGCAGTGATGCACCTTACGAAGATCTCGGCATTGGATTTGGCACCAAGCAACGTGCGCGTGAATTCCGTGAGCCCGGTGCAGCGGCCAAGGGCAGGGAGTTGGCAATAAAGGGACAGAGGAAGAGACAGTTGGCATTTCGGGCTGCCTGTGCTACCGGTAATTACCTTGATAGAGATGATAGGGTTTGCAGATGTTGCAGCATTGCTGGTCACTGGCATACACTGTATTGAATCAGGCTCGCAGCGACTGCAAAGTGGTGATAAACAGGTCCAAAACTGGACCATAGCTGGGTTCATAGCTGTTTGCAGGTCACGTTTGCAGATGACGAAGGCAGTTGTTTGCTGATCCAACTGACAGTTTTTTCTACAGTTGGTGCAAGGCGTTCATCGGCCCTGAAGATGGATTCATGTGGCGAAGGCAGGTGGAGCTTCAAGCCAAAGCCAATCCGACCAATGGCCCTGAGCAGCTTGGGCCTTTATCAGGCTAGATCATGCTAGATCCCATTGTTTTGATTGTGTGAAAAAGTTTTCGGAAGTAGATATGCTATCAATGAATCAAGATCAGAAACTGAACTGTCCATAACTGTCCGATGATTCGGTCATTGTTTGTTTTGCAACACTATGTTGTAACCTGGGGCAATATTGCAAGTGGAGCGAGTTCCAAGGCGATACTATTCCAACGACCCTGATACCGTTTCCAAGCAGATGCTGGACAGTTCTGGGCTCGTATGGGATAGCAGCGGATAGCATCCCTTCCAAAACCGCGCTGGGGGTTTGTACCGCCGGAGTCCATTAGAATGTGTTTGCCCATGTTTGGCCAAGGAGTCTGAAAAGATGAAGGAAAAGGCTGTATATATGGGGAAAAGATCTTTCCAGCATTTTCATGTCGACGCAACTCTTTTGGGGGATTGTTGATGATTGTTATTTTTGATTAGTGTTTTTATGTGTTCATCATTTTTCCAATGTTTTTCATATTTGTTTTCCCAAGTCTCTCCGCATTTCTCTTCGCTTTTCGCAGGAGTCTGTGCCTTTGAGACGCTTGGGCACGCCTGAGGAGGTCATCCAAACAGTGATGTTCTTGCTGAGCGAGGAGTGGAGTTCGGTGATGTTTTTTTGTAGATTTAGTGAAATTAGTGCTTCAGGAAAGCAGAAAAATTGTGAAACATGATTAAAAATGATGAACAATGATGAAAAATGATTGACACATGTTGATACATATATACTGCATGTATGATGATGATGATGATGATGATGATGATGATGATGATGATGACGACGGACTATGGCGATGACCAATTTCATGAAATTTCGAATGAAACATAATGTGAGCTAGTTGCCAACTGAGTAGGATAGATTAGGCCATATTAGGCAAAACCTGTTCAAAACTCCAAAGGCAATAACCTTTGTTCCCCTTGAATACTTGTCCTTGTTTGAGGATGTTTAATTGTTGCCTAAAAGTGCCAGGAGTCCTCCTACATCACAGGAACTGACATCAACATATCTGGTGGAAACGTTCTGGGTGGAGCTCGGGGCTGATGAAGGTGCAGCCACCTGTACCCAACCGCGGACCATGAGGGGTCCTTTCTTTTGCATATTTTTGCGTATTTTCCGATATTTTGCGATATTTTGTATATACTTTGGTGACAGGGTTTGGAGAGTTTGTCTCCATCGTCACATTAGTCACACACTGTCACACTGTGTGCAACCAGTTACCATCATCTAGGCGGGATTTGGTTTTCTCGCATCTCGAAGAATGCGTCCACCATTCAAATGTGACGTTCATCGTCGGTGATGGTGTGGACCATGCCAGCATGTGGTTGTTTCAAAACGAAAGCTTGCGGCTTGACGTGCTGAAATTGCAATCACACATGCGCCTCAGGTTTAACGTATCGAATAATTTGAGTGTTTTTTTTTCAGAGCGGTATTTATTCATATTTATTTTATTTGAGACACGTTGTTTCATAGGGATTCAGGCAGCCCTTAATATTGAAGACATGGAAAGTGCAAGCTAAGGGCGTAGAGACCATCCATGAGAAAGAACAGAACTTTTATTAAGGAGCCCGAGTGCACGCACAGTATTCCTAGGCTAAGGATTCCTGTTTCCATCTACTGTATTTGCCTGTTATGACTGACATACTTACTCACGATGCGGAAGTACATCTACTGCTTAGCCGCCTGTTGCGTAGATGGCTTGTAGGAAGCACAGACTTCATGCATGTACGAAGCAGCATCAAGGGTGAAGTCTAAGTGCAAGATCAGTACAAAGGATTTCAACATGCAAGTTCATGACTCCAACACAGATGAAGTACACAAACAATGTTTGCGACATGATGCAAGATGCCTCTATGTTAATGATTGTCAACGTGCACTGTGTTGGTCTTGAACCATTTCAGACAGTACAACAGGATTTCTTCGACGTCGTAGACCAATCGTAGCTGAAGCTTTCACATGTCCACAGGGCTTGGGTGCAGAGCCCTCAAAGGGCTCTTGTGCGGGGCATGAGCTGGGGCGAGTGGTATGGAGCTGTAATGATTGAGTTGGCTGCTGCATAATTAACATGCAGGCCAGCTTCAAAAGAATATTCACATGATCAGAAAACAGAAGGATGCATGAATATCAAGAAGGTATAGAGAGGAAGAGATAGGAACCATCAGTATGGATTCAGTCTAGCCAACACTTGGCTCACACGTCGTGGGAAAGGTCGCGCTCCGTTCTTCACAACCCGCATCGGCGCTTCTGCTGGAAGCCAATACGGGAACTGGCGCAATTGCGAGAACACCAGCATAACAGCATGACAGTAGCATACACATTGCAATAGACATTGCAATACACATGCATAATCATGCATACAAATACGATCAAATACCATCAAATACCCACATGCCATTTGGAGTCGAGATGAGTCGAGTCAATCTGTGAAAGTTGAAGGATGTTGGAGACCTGGATGCACCGCCTTTCACCCACACCATTTACACATGCATTCACTGGCCGTCCTCTATGGTTGCTTGAGGTCGTCACCTATGAACCACAAGATCCACGTGCAAAGTGCGGAAGCCAAATATGTCAAGCTGAGTTTCTCATCTCTTATTTTTCTTGTGCCATCACCTTGCACACTTGGGCGGCAAGAGTTTGGCAAGGTGCTTATCAGCCACCACACACAAGCTGTCAATCTCATCATATCTCACCACCATTCATAGAGAATGATACAGAATTGGAGAGTTTGTTCTCACGTTGTAGCAATCGGGGCTGAGGCGGAGCCAGGGACAGATTCGCAACGATCCAAGGGCACGCTTCAAGGCTTTTGCACCATTCTTGACAATCTCAACAGACTGGTTTCTTTATTGGAAAAACGTACTCGGCGGGCAGGTTGCGGATTTATATTTCACCTCTCCAACTTGCCAGGATAGCTATGCACAGTTCGCGAAGCATCTGAACCAGTGGCTACGCCAGCAAGACCCTTGGGTGAAGTTGATTGGTTGACCGATTGGCCGACAGTTAATTACTTAATTATGTGTATTCATTTCGATTGTGATCAAGTGTTTCTTGTTGCCGCAGCTTTGCAATTCCCACTTGTTTCAGCAAGCACAGTTGCATCCAGCAGCCCTCGACTCATCAGGTTTCCACTAGATGATGGCGGGTGGCGGCCCAAGTTGTAAGTCATCCAAAAAGTGTTCTTGGCGTTATCCGCATTGGGAACTAGCTAAGCAGCAGCACCAGGGTAAGGGATTCCGATTTATTTGATTTTATTTGCCCATGGCGAGACGAGTCGCTCTTCATGAAATGCCCCTACTCCTACGCTCTGGTAGCACACTTTGTAGAGTACGCAATGATTGTGCGATGTTGTCCTGGCTCAAGGCTCTTCCGTTTGGACCGGATGGAAGCCAGCAATGAACAGGATTTCCCGATATGGCACCAAGGCTTCAGTCACAAAACATCGCAGATATTGCAGATTACATGACAGATCAACTGAAACTAGTTCAGACCAAAGTGCCCTATGGCCATCCTATGGCGATCCTATGGCCAAACGGCACCAGACACGCTGGCAGAATTTTGGACCTGGAGCGTCATTTGTGCATCTATTCTGGTACGGGTGCGGTGCAGACCCGAACCTTTGGACAGTTTGGTGACAGATTTTGACTTCGTCCTGGGGGGGGACAGCGCATAGCCCATTCCCAAGCGCACGGTCACTACCAATCCAAAAGGCCATGAAAGGTGAAGCGAGGCTTGGCTGAACGCAAGGGTGGGAAATCCAGGAGTTCCCTGCCATAGTTTGCCACAGCACAGAATATTAGACAGATATGACAGATGATTAATGATAGTAAAGGTAGTAATGATTAAAAAGAAATACAATAGAGTTGTTGTATCATTCTGTATCATGTTGTATTGAATCCTTCTCATCCCTCGCAGCCCCACCGCTGCGCGGAACTGTTGATTAGTCTCCTTGATATGTCAGTAATTGTGCAACTCTTGAGGCCATTTATTCGCATGTTATATATGTTCCGGATGTTCCCGGCTCCCGGTTCGGTAGCCCCCTCCCCCTGGTATGGTACCCCCTGACCCAAAAAAATCACCCATGTGCATTCTATTTGCAGCATTTCAGAGTTATGGCCTCACATTTGCATATTATTTGCAGTATTCCAGAGCCACAACCTTCCACTTGCGACCTATTTGTCGCATTTAGGAGCCGTATACTTCCTAACAAAATACCTCGGTACTACCTATGTACTACCTGCATGCTGTTCGCATATTGCCTATGTACATCTATGATCATATGTATTTCTTTTCCACTTATATACGACCAATAGCGCATCTATAAACTACTCAGATGTAATCCTACTATTTATATCTATTTATTTATATATACATTATCCATTGCATGCCTGAATGCAACCTATATACCGCTCATAGCGTACCTATATACTATATACCTCTGTCCTACTCATCTACGACTGATAAGCTGCATCACTTCCCCCATCCCATCCCCTCCACCCTCCAAGCCACAAGGGGCAACCACATACACTAATTACCTGGGTACCTCATACTACTAATAAATATGTACATGAATATATATATATATAATTATATATATGATTATATATATACCTATGTATATTATATATATATACATATGTATATGTATGTAGAGTACCATATATTCTATGTACTTGCTACCTAAAATACTATTTACTACATACTGTACACATTTACTACATATTATATACACTGCCTATTTGCTACCCATATGACACAGTTGCAAATAGATAGACACCACTTATATGTACTATACGCACTACCATATAGCACCTGTGTACCACTAATTTGGATGCACTGGCTATTATTATATTCCCCATACAGCATATGCAACCCCCTTCACCAACCCACATCCACAGGGGGAGGGGGATACCATGACCATGGGTGGGGGAGGGGCCCAGAACCTGGAACATATACAGTATACTATACCATTATTATCCATTATTTAGTTTCAATGCATCACTTTAGTTGCAAAAACACAGATTCAACAAGCATGAAAGACATTGAAAGATCTTAGTGGCTCAGGTACTTGTGCTTTCAATATGTATTGCTATGTGCAGATAGATAGATCGATCGATAGATAGATACATAGATATATATATATACACACGCAAATATGCTCATATACAGTACATATGTCATCGTTGAATATCATTCACACAGAGGGGAGGTGACTTGTATTCAGTTTACTACTTTGTGCACAATAGATAGGTCGCCAAGTGTATAAGGTTCTCTATTCGAAGAGTTGTAAAGGTCTTGCACAAATGGCTCATGTGGCGTGTTGCCAGTCAGTCGATTTGATACTCTTTGCTGCAATTCTCGGCTCAGTTGCCGCATTTCTTTTCTATGCTTGTCCCCGCACTGCAATTGGGTCCAAAGGTTGCAAATTTATGAGCAAAGTCGGATGCGATGAAGCCTCTGACATTCTCGGGAGACTTCCCAATGAACCAGATGAAGAATTGACAAAGGCATGTTCATGTGATATATTGGTTACAAGCAAGGGATTGTTGCGAGGGTGCTGGGGAAAATTTGAGGCAGAAGCCTTTTACAGACCTTTCCCTCATCATGACATGGTCAAACTCATCCGACACATCCTGATCATGCTGCTGGACATTGAAAAGTATGCCACCAGAGAAGGAGAGACAATCGAAAATGTGGAAGTGCTCGGAGAGGGCAGTTATGCAAAGGTTTTTGGGCTCGGTCCAGTTGCTGCAAAGGTTATCAGCGACACTGAGCGAGTTTGGGTCCACAGGGCTGCTGTTGCCAACAGTTTGGCCGCTGACCGCGAGGGCTTTGGTCCTGCAATGTTTGGGTATGGCCGCGTTCAGCAAAAAATGGGTGGCCACTTTGCAGGAACTGTCATTTTCATGGAGCGGCTGCAAGTTTTCGAGGAAGAGCTTTCTGAAACCCATGCAGATGCCCTCTTACACGAGGTGAGGAAAATATCTAAGCATGGTTTCCACAACGACCTGAAGATGCCAAATATCCTCAGACGTCAAGATGGC